TATATATATATATATATATATATATATATGATGATTGTAAAAGTGAAACAAGAAATCCTGATCTCACAAACACAAAATTTTAGAAATTCACCCTTGAATGTAACTTGAAATAATTATTTCCCATAATTTACGTCACCTTTTTCACGAAATTTAGTATAAATAAATTCGAAACAGAAGTAACCACTCTTCATAGTGCAACGTTTCAAGGATTTTCGGATACAGGCAATGATTAAGTGAAAAGCACCTAATTTACTTGAAAAGAAACTTCATTGAAAATAAAAGAAAATATTGTTTAAGTGCTGAAGTAGCTCAATAAAAATGTCTAACATATTTCCTTCAGAGCCTTATGAACAGCGTAGTGCTTTCCGCTTGTTAAAAGATTGGATTTTTTTTTCTTATTATTAGCATAGCCAAAAGGAACGCTTTTGCAACTTAGTGAGTTCCTCTTTCTAATGGACCTAATTTTTCCTTCCTTGGCATGTAATTAGAATTTCTTTAGCACTACTTTTAGTTTTATCTATAGAAGAAAGTTCTTTAGAAATTTAAGACTTAAAAATGCGAAGTCTGACAAATGGGTGCTATATTACGTAAAAGAATACTCAACGGAAACTTGGCTATTTTATTAAATAAATATTTTTCTTCCAATATTATCTTCTTCAGTACGGATCTGTTTTGATGATAAGAAGTTTAAGCAATATTCAAGAATCACGTTGGCAGAATTTTAAATCTCTATATAAATTGACCAATTTATATAGAGATATTTAAGTATATTGCATGATTATCAGCAATATACATATTTAAGTATATTGCTGATAATCATGCAAGCAAATTATTTTAAAATAAATTTAAAAATAGATAAATTTAAAATAAATCAGTATTTATGTATTATATAGATTTAAAAATAAATTAATTAATTAATCTTCTACTAAATAAATATATGATGTATTACAGGTAAAATTCAGAATACTTGTAGATACATTTTTTTTCAAATATCATCCTTTTTAATG